AAAAAGTTTTTTGTTTTTAAATCCAAGCTATTGTGACACCAGATGTAATTGGTGGCACTGACTGGGGAAATGGGCACAGTATGCACTGTGAGCCTGATACAGAAGCTGGCAGCAGTGGCAGACAACTGACTGCTATTCAATCTATAACAGTGAAAAAAGTTTTTTGTTTTTAAATCCAAGCTATTGTGACACCAGATGTAATTGGTTGCACTGACTGGGGAAATGGGCACTGTGAGCCTGACACAGAAGCTGGCAGCAGTGGCAGACAACTAAGTGAATTTACATTACATAGAAAAAATAAATAAAAAAAAAGCATACCCTTATCCCTAACCTAGCTATGCTTTTCCCTATCTTATGAACAGCAGCTACACTTTCCCTCCTCTTACTAAGCATGCAGCTTGAGAATGAATCTAAAATGGATGCTGTCCAGTAGGTGGGAGGGTCTGCTAGGGAGGCTGTGCTGCTAATTGGCTGGAATGTGTCTGCTGACTGTGAGGTACAGGGTCAAAGTTTACTCAATGATGACGAATAGGGGGCGGGTCGAACCGCGCATATGTTCGCCCGCTGTGGCGAACGCGAACATGCTATGTTCGCCAGGAACCGTTCGCCAGCGAACCGTTCGGTACATCACTAGTTACAACAATAGACAATCACAGTGTGCTTAAACTAATAACACACAGAGAATGAAATGTTGCCATGTTTTTATTGAACACACCATGGAAACATTCACAGTGCAGGTGGAAAAGGTATGTGAACCCTTGGATTTAATAACTGGTTGAACCTCCTTTGGCATCAATAACTTCAACCAAACGTTTCCTGTAGTTGCAGATCAGATGTGCACAACGGTCAGGAGTAATTCTTGACCATTCCTCTTTACAGAACTGTTTCAGTTCAGCAATATTCTGCCCTTACGTTTGAGGAGAAAAAAAGTGCGTCTTATGGAGCAAAAGGAGGCTGAATGCCTTAATGAATATTTTATTTCAGTATTTACAGATGAAAATGAATTAAAAAGTAGTAGGTAGGAGTCTGGCAACTATAGGCCAGTAAGCCTTACTTCAGTAATGGGGAAAGTAATGGAAACCATGTTAAAGGATAGGATTGTTGAACATCTAAAATCACATTGATTTCAAGATCAGAGACAATATGGATTTACTTCAGGGAGATAATGCCGAACTAATCTAATTGATTTTTTTTCATTGAGTAACTATAATAATAGCTCAGGGTGATGCAGTAGATATTGCTTACCTAGTTTTCAGTAAGGATTTTGACACTGCACATAGAAGGCTTATCAATAAACTGCAATCTTTAAGTTTGGATTCCAATATTGTTGAATGGGTAAGGCAGTGGCTGAGTGACAGGCAACAGAGGGATGTAGTCAATGGAGTATATTCGAAGTTTGGTCAAGTAACCAGTGGGGTACATCGGGGATCTTTACTTGGACCTATTCTCTTTAATATTTTTATTAGTGATATTGCAGAAGGTCTTGATGGTAAGGTATGTCTTTTTGCTGATGATACTAAGATATGTAACAGGGTTGATGTTCCAGGAGAAAT